ATAACTTTTTCATCTTGACACAAACTGGTGATTTTCAATCGAGCACATGCTGTAGTGAGTAAAATAGCCTTTGGGGAAATCAAATGTGGTTTGTGTTCTCAAGCAGAGAACATTTAGCATACATGTGATTCTCCAGTACCAGCCTAGTGCAAATGAACCGATGCTTTGATCTGCTGCTTATGGCCTTACACAAGCTAAATAGCCGTTTTGGAGGACCAAATATATCATACAAACACATCACATTTATGTCACTTTAGATTTGCTGTGATTTTGTAGCTGTAGGTTTTTTTTTTTTTTAGATGAATGTGAATGAAAATGTCTGTTGTATTTCATTGTTTTTCCTTAATGTTTAAGGTTTAAAAACTAGATTTATTTTTTATAAATTTAGAGCTTTTTGTAATAAAGTTTTCTACATTTATCTACATTTCCCTTAAGTTTTTTTCCCCCCCTTTTAAAGAGATTATGGTGAATCTCAAATTATTACTGTAATAGACTACTAAAGTAATAAATACTACTAAGATTTATGAATACTTGCATTTAGATTTAATTAAGATTGATTTACATCCGATTTGCATGGATTTGTGCTTAATCTCACAATGTCAAAAATATTGCCAAAAAAATAATTTTCTGTTCTTGTCAAATTTGGTGAGATTCAACCTTGCATAACTAATTTTGTAAAAATAAGACGCATGACAATTAAAGTGTTAAAATAAGCATAATTTTACTTGAAGCATGATGTCTACATTACATAAATCAGTGTTATGACATTCAGACAACATTTTTTAAAGATGATTCCTAAAATTCAATTTGAACAGAAACCTGGAAGGGTGCAGATTTAGGCTTGATTTGGGTGATAGAAACAGTATTTTACTATAATAACAACATGGATGAATAGGTAGGCAAATAATTTTCACTTGAAAAACAATTACATGTATTTTTGAGCAGAGGAAAAGGTGCTTACATTTTCTTTTTGGTGAATTGAGGCTATGTTGCAGGCATAATCATCATGCATAACATTGTGATTTTGTAGCTGTAGGTTTTTTTTTTTTTTAGATGAATGTGAATGAAAATGTCTGTTGTATTTCATTGTTTTTCCTTAATGTTTAAGGTTTAAAAACTAGATTTATTTTTTATAAATTTAGAGCTTTTTGTAATAAAGTTTTCTACATTTATCTACATTTCCCTTAAGTTTTTTTCCCCCCCTTTTAAAGAGATTATGGTGAATCTCAAATTATTACTGTAATAGACTACTAAAGTAATAAATACTACTAAGATTTATGAATACTTACATTTAGATTTAATTAAGATTGATTTACATCCGATTTGCGTGGATTTGTGCTTAATCTCACAATGTCAAAAATATTGCCAAAAAAAAAAATTTTCTGTTCTTGTCAAATTTGGTGAGATTCAACCTTGCATAACTAATTTTGTAAAAATAAGACGCATGACAATTAAAGTGTTAAAATAAGCATAATTTTACTTGAAGCATGATGTCTACATTACATAAATCAGTGTTATGACATTCAGACAACATTTTTTAAAGATGATTCCTAAAATTCAATTTGAACAGAAACCTGGAAGGGTGCAGATTTAGGCTTGATTTGGGTGATAGAAACAGTATTTTACTATAATAACAACATGGATGAATAGGTAGGCAAATAATTTTCACTTGAAAAACAATTACATGTATTTTTGAGCAGAGGAAAAGGTGCTTACATTTTCTTTTTGGTGAATTGAGGCTATGTTGCAGGCATAATCATCATGCATAACATTACATTTCATTTAAAACCAAAAATATACATAGGAAAAAAAAACTCGATGCCTGTGTTTAAAAAAACAAACCACCGAGACGTCATTTCAACAAGGTTACAACTATTTCTCCAAGCGTAGCAACAAAAAAAAAAACTGAAACTAGCCAACAAAAGTGCATATGCATTAAAAATACTTCAAAATCTCAGAACCCGTAATCGCTCAACAGCGGCAACCTTGCCGTGTCATGCATCCTTAAACAAACCGTTCATTTAAAGCCAATCTGTTGACCAACGTCACCTGAGGAATTAACAGCATCAAACACACACAGTATCTATTTGCCTTGGTTAAAACGAAACGCTTAACTTCATTTGAACTTTCTGTGGATTTAAACATTGTCTTTTAGATTAAAGAAATACGGCATAAATCATGGATAAGCACACAAACATAAAGCACATGTAACAGTAGTACACTACAGCAGCCACAAGACCACCTGCAATTCATTTTGAAATATTAACGGAGTGTGAAAATACATGTCAAGGCAGGTGCTTCCTGTGGACACACTTGAGAATAATACATGTCCTCTGTCTATCATACTGTGGTTTTTTGGTGTGTTACTACCTAAGCCAGTGTTATATCTAAAGATAATGCTATCAATACTGTTTGTTTATTTCACACATTGATAATTGCAATGTGACCTCATAAGTTTAGAATTGAGCTTTATTTTCTTTATGCAAAAGTGTTACATTTTGCAAAGACGACAGAACAGATGGTATTGAATATAAATTTAAAGGACTCGTGGGTCTAGATCTAAATAAATCTAAAATTATTAGAGAGCTCATATGTCAGCAATACCAAAGTACTAAAGCAAAATTGTAATTAGGGTTGCAAAGGGGTGGAACGTTTTCGGTAAATTTCCCAAAATGTTTTCAAAATTTCCTGGAAATTTTCCACCTTTTTGCAACCCTAATCGTAATTAGTATCTTCAGTAACAGTCCAAATTAACTTTATTCAGAGAGTTTCAACCCCTATAAAAGCACTGCATTTAAGAGTAAAATACATTTTATATAATGTAAGCCTTAGTTGCCATTTGATAGGAATACTGTTCAGAAGGCATGCAGTTTTTCTATGACAAGTTTTGAAACCTTTTTAGCCACATTGGACCTCATTCATGAAACAAACCAAACTAATTTTCATGCAAATCGTTAAAAAAAAAGTGTATATATACACACACACACACACAACAGTTCGTTCTGGTTCTCAGATCTGATTGGTTGAGAACCGTGAGATATTGTACTGGTATCCTACAGGAACGCCCTTTCACAATTTTGTATCACTCCGCTTGTTCTAGCCGGGTCTGTTTTTTTTTGTATTATTATTCACTGAGCTAATCGTAGAGTATGTTAGTTAATATAAGAAGAAACGTCTAGCTTCGCGGTCTCTCATTCGGATGCACGTCTTGACGCATTTTTTCTCTCTTATAACCTCATTATTTCTCACTAATAACATAACTGAAGCAGCACATGCCCTTGATAACAATTCTAAAAGTGACCTATGTTTAACGGTCAACTTGAGCTTTGAATCTGTGGCGGAAGGAAGTAGTTCCACACAAAAGAGGGTTTTAATTAGGCACTCTGTTGTTTCTTGTTTAATTACACACATGCTCCGTCGAACTGTTGTATAAACGCAATATCACTCTCGTACTTGAGCGATACCGGCTCTATATCAGCGTCTGTGATTGCCTCCGGCCTCGTGCCTCTGGCCTAATCACAGCCGCTGATACAGAGCCGGTATCGCTCTCGTACTCGAGTGATATTGCTCATATATAAATATTTTTATTTTGTGATCAATTGTGAACACAATTATGGAAATTTACTTTCAACTAAACAATTCACAACCATTTGTTTGAAGTACACCATTTTAAAAATGGACAAATCTCCAAACTCCACTGGTATTTAAAGTTATGAAATGGAAATCTATTTTTCAAAATGCATGTTATTGATTGTGAACAATTCCATCTTTTTTTTCATATTGTTTTTGACCTCATTGTTTAATTAAAATGTCATAAGCGAATCTACCAATGAGACCGCAGACTTCTAACAGGGGACGTATACAGGACTTCTCTGATCATCTAGTGCACTTTAACCCGTCCCTGCAAAACCCACACCTCCAAATACAATCAACAAACCATGCATAGAACCAAATTCAAACCCTACATTTTTTGTCTTTTTTCTTAATCCATTTAGATATACGTCAAAATACAGCTACCTGATTTTCATCGCAACTTTACCGGAAATCGTAAGTGTTCAGAATGCAACATCTTGAATGCAGCTAGACTGATTAACACCACATTTTATACTAAAATGATTTCCTTAAGTAGCGACTAGGTTATGTTTCTTTATTAACTATACAAGCATTAAATGCATTTCACCGGATTCAGTGCATCTTGAACATGTATTTTTGTTGGATCTAGCAGACAAAGCTCCCTATTTCAGGACTGTCCAGCCTATTCTTTAGCTGTTTGGTGTTGATGAGGTTAAATGGAAGCTTTACAAAAAACTTAAATCCCATTAAAGCTGTTGCTACAGCCATACACAAACGGATGTCTACGGTCGTTGCGATGCTTTTGTGCATTTGTTTGTTTGTTTGAGCATCCTGCCATAAGTATTGAGTTAAGTTTTTGCATTCAGGTTACAAAATATTTAAATACATTTTTTATTCTAAACTCCTGTGTTTTGTTCCTCTAGAGGCCGTTCACACAGTATGCATTTTTCCATTCAAGTGCACTACTTTTCTATTGTTTTGTTTTCTACATAAACGCGGTAGAAAACAAAGTGTAGGACCGTTGCCCTCGTGAATCACGTGTTTTGCAGGGTCTCGCACATGAGCTCCACGCTTTTAAGACGCTGTGTCAAGTTAAAAGAATTTCAGCTTATAAAGCGGATAGTTCCGTTCCTTGATTCTGATTGGTTGAGCCGCGTTCGAAGCTGTTGTAAATTACTCTACAAACACACACCTTTGTTTACTTCTGTGTGTTGCTCGGCCACCACTTTGTTGCAACCACAACCGTTTCTGAGGAACTACATTGTTTGGCGGAAGAATACTGTTTTTACACTTTATTTGCTCGGTTTTATTTTGTGAAAACTTACTACGTATATGCAATAACCGTTTTATAAAAGCAATAAGCCCCGTGAAGCCGTGGTTTACAGTGATTTTATAACAGCTAAGGGGGTGCCTAACAACGCCCCTTAGCGGTTATAAATTCACTGTAAATCACGGCTTCTTGGGGCTTATTGCTTTTATTTAACACGCAGCGCCGCTCATCAATAAAGCTCCAAACAGTGGACCAATCAGAAGACACTGGAGGCGGAGCAAGCGTTGCAAGTTTGTGTTTACAGTAGCAAGTTGGCGTGTTATATTTGACGGCAGCATGGCGGAGGAGGCATTCAGCACTGCACTTAAAAAATTAAATAAAAAACCCTTCCTGAGTGCTGCGTTTTTAGATGCATTCTGTGTGAACGGCCCCTAAGAAAGTCAGCAGAGCAGGGTCAGGTGAACCCTAAACCGTCTGAAAAGGGCTTCCTTAAGTCATTCAGTCAACCTACAAACTAGTCGACTGCCACAATTTTTGTTACAAATATTCAATGGTCAATAAAGCATGCCAGTAACACAAACAAACTTCTTCAAACCATTCAACCTCATTAGAAAGGCTTTTGTTTTACATGTGAATAGAGGAAGAGGGCTTCATCCAGGCACATCCTGCTGCAGTGACCACACGTCTCACCGCCGGGCACATTTCACACGCCATCCAAACAACAAAACAAGCAGCATGTACTGGACTCACATACTCAAGTATAGCAGTATCACTCAAAAACAGCACTTGACTGGAGGATGAGAGCGATGGAGGGAGATTTCAGGAGTTAAAAGCCGATTTTCCCCCTGGTCATGGCGTAGCCCAGTTTGGCTTCATTGTTGAAGAAGGACATGATGCCCAGGTAGGTCTCGATCAGGAGCGGCCGCTCCAGTATCAGCACGCCATTGGCTCGTCCCGGGATGGGGAAGTCTTTATGGTCTTTTTTCACAGCCTGGACGAGCTGCGTCTTGAAATTCTCAAGCTTCAATGGAGAACAGAATTACATTTGATTTGACTTCCATTAAATACGAATAGCAGACTGAATGCTTTTAGCCATGATTTGCTTGTGTGTTTTAGGGCAGAACCTGAAGTCTTTGATTGCTTATTTGACAGCCAGTCAAGCACTGCTCGAATTTTCGTTTTGAGAATGGTGAAAGTTATTTAAGGATTTTATCTTGAGTTGTTGTTTTTTTACCATTTTGTTGAAAGATTTTAAAATGTATTTTTGTATGAAGTATCCATTATTATCGTGATAATGGAATTTCTAAATTTGATACAATACCTCAAAATATATACATAGATTAGATACAAAGCATAAAATTTGAACAGTAAGAGTAGTTTATTTAATTTTGACCATATCCAAAGTATTGTCTTATCAATTAAGATTCCTCAGGCCTGCTGCCTCTCCCAGTTAGATAATAATAATAATAATAATACAAGATAGAAATATTACTATTGTAATATTCATTTTTACTTTACAATAGTAAATTTATAATACTTATGAATTTCTTCTCTTGCAAAAGTTAAACTCTTGAGCTTTTATTTTGGAGGAAAGCTGAAACGGGGTTTCTGCGGGTCTTAAAGTCTTCAATTTAGTTGTATCAAATTTAAGGCCTTAAAAAGTCTTAAATTGTAAGTCTTACAAATAGTCTTAAAATGTACAAGAAAGTCTTAATTATGATTTCAGTCGTCACTGATAGCCTCGTGGGCAGCGCGTCGACATGTAGCGCCATTGCGTGTCGGGCGTCCCGTGTTCGAGACCCGGCTCGCGGACCTTTCCCGATCCCACCCCACCCCACCCCACCCTCTCTCTCTCTCACTTCGCTTCCTGTCTCGCTAGTATCCTATCAATAAAAGGCAAAAATGCCAAAAAATACATCTTAAAAAAAAAAAAACAATTATGATATCAAGAGGTCTTAAATTTGGGGACGGACCAGAATTGCGATACGGCTGAATGTGACGATTAAACTTCAAAAGGCTATGATTTCATTAATTAAACATGAGCACTGCATGTTCAAAGTCTGGTGCTGCCATGCTTTGAGTTCTGCTGTTACCGGGGAAACAGTTATATTTCTACCAAACGCTCCACCTGCTGGCAGAGAATGAATGAGCATTTTCAATAAAACTGTTGTTTTGTTCAGAGTTCAGACCAATTCAAAAATCGACCCATGTTTTTACCCTGCAAACACGCAGAGCTTTAAATGTGAACTGGTGGATCGATAAGAAGACAATGCATTATAAAAATATAAACAGTATAGGGGTGTGCGATATGTACGGTCTGCGATAATATCGTAATTGTTGTTTTAAGGATATGCGATTTGATATCGAGTATATCGCGAAATGCAAACAAAACACCTACAGAATGCGCACATACATTAGATGAAGTAGTCTAGCAGGTTAGACTAGTGAGTGCACTTTAATCAGTCTAAAATGCATTTAGAATTATCACATAATTCAAGATATGGGACAGAAAATGTATCATTTCATATAGTTACCATCACACGAAGAGTGCCGTTTTTTCTCCAAAAGTCAGCATGATTACAAATGTGATATTGATTTTATACAACAGTTCAATAAACAAGTTAATATTAAGAGACTTACGTTTTAGACACCATATTTCCTGTTTTTGCTCTAGTTTTCCCAACAAAAAAATCATTCCAAACACAGCCACAGCGCTGTTTTGCATCTTTGAGTAACACGACGGGGTTTCGTTCCTGAATGAATCAACCGTTTAAATGATTCGGTTCAATCACAATGACTCACTTAACAGTGACTTGCTGCCACCTACTGGCGGTTTTAATCTCACATTTAAGGTATCTTTTCATTTTTTAAATAATTTCAAACATCAGTTTTCAATGTTTTAGGTTTAAAATATCAAAACATTATTTATGCATTTGTAACTGCAGGTTAAAATATTTAATGTCCCTTAGGGCTGCATTAAAGAGTGTGTAAATGCATCTAAATGACACTTCAGAGGCATCTTCTGTGTTTCCTCTGGATTGCCAAGATCAATTTTGTTGATACTGATTTCATTTGTTTGGTAACAGCCCAAATGCAAGAATTTGACTCAAAAGATGGTGCACACTTTTAGAAAAAGTGGCTTAAAGGTAAAAATGCCCATACAAATTGTTGGAAATTATTCATTTCTATCACTGCTGTGAACTGACCACACAGAATATGAAGAATATAAAAACAATTCAGGAGTCAGCTGTTAGCACAATTAGAGATAAGATATCAGCACAATAACTATGGCAAAATATTGTTATCGATAAAATCCCAGAAAATTATCGAGATATAATTTTTTTTAATCAATATCGCACACCCCTAATTTGTTATTTAATTGATATAATAATTGTTTAGATTAATAAAATAATTAATACTTTTGACTCATCCATTTTCTTAAAAATGGTAACATGGCTGAAATGTAAAGTTTATCATTTTATAAAACTTTGTTTTTGTGAAAACTTGTATCTGAAGTGTAAATTATGCTTTTTACAGTCATTTTTACAGTTGAATATGGTACTATAGACCAGTGTTTTCCAACTTTTTTTTTTTTTTAGTCGCGGCACCATTTTAACAAACTTGTGGCACCGTACAAAATTAATTTTGTCACAATATTTGAATTTCTAACTTCGATATGATACTTTGAAAAGTATAGATACTCAGTACAACAGGGAAGAACTGCAAAATATTTAATGTCATACAGATATTTTTAATATTATTAAAAATGGTGGCAATCAGTAGGCTAATTTCTAATGAAGAGATCAATTTATATGACAGATTTTAATGTAGGCTTTTATACATATGTAAACATTATTTAATTACCATTATAACTAGCTATCTCACTCAGTGATTTTTTTTATTTTACAGTGGGGTAATTTTGGTGCAGTAGCATGAGATGGCTTGATTTCAAACTTTGAATTGAATAAAAAATAAGCAGTCAGTAATAAAATACGAACAAAAAGAAATTAATGATAGCACAAATTAAAAAATAACGACAGGCCTTCGAATTAAATACATTGCTTTTTAGTTTTTCAGGTAGGTCTAACAGTAGGGTTAAGATATTTAACTTTTTTTTACCAATTATCCAAATAATGTTTAGTCCTAGAAAGCTATTATTATCGGAACACGCAAGCATAACATAGCGGTTAGCAGATCAGTGAATGAGAGGGCAGCGTTACCAGAGTTGCCCATATACCACACCACGTTACAACACATTAGGGCTATTGCAGACAATACTGTACTACATCCATGTTTCCTGTCGGCTCAATTTCTGAGTGGACTTTGTTGTTCTGATGAGCATGAACGGTATATGAGTGGAGCTACTGAGCGGAGCGCACACGCATAAAGCAGGATAATACACAGAGCGTCACACCACGTGAAAGTGAAACCTGAGCGGTGAACTAATTTTCGGCAGCCGAAATTTCGGTGCATCTCTAATTATTGGCGACATCAGAAATTGATATTATATAATAGATGCTTTTTTGAACATTTTAGCAATTTAAAAATTTTTTTTTTTTTTTTACACGGCCCCCCGGTTGGGAAAAAATGCTATAGAAATGGCCCTACCCCGCTCATATGGTATTAATTTTATTTGTGCAGGTCTTAAATTTGAGCTTAAAAATCCTGCAGAAACCCTGTGAAAAGAAGCTTCGAATCCACAAAAATGTTGGAAATTATGTGAATGTGGAAAAGTGTAACTGGCAGCCTAAACTCACAGCACATTACAGTTTACAGTTTACAGTTTGTTTCACTTTCTGTAAACCAAGCCGAACGGAGACGCAACAAACACCAGATCACAAACTGCTTGTGTGCACATTAATTCACCTATTATTTATTTATTCATTCATTCAATCATTGAAATTGCACATCTATAAAGCATAAACTCAATATAAAATGTTAGCCAAGATGGCAAATTTGCATCTGTTGTCCCCGGTTGATGTAAAAAGATTTCAATCGACAAATACAATACATTTATACAAATATTTCCAAATTTTTTACATTTCCAGAAAACGCACTCTGAAACACATAGTGCAACAAACTATACTGCTTTGCGTGTCAGAGAGAAGAGAAAGAGGGAATGCAGCTGGTATCCATACCGCAGAAGATGAAAAATCAATAAGAATCAAGCACTAGTATAGGAAGCACACTCACCTGGCAGAGGGAGGCCACCTTTTCATCGGCGTGTGCCATGGGGTGTTTGGTGAAGGTGGCGTAGGGTACGTCAGTGGACCAGGGGTTCCAGCGGTTTATGAACGAAGGTCTTGGTCGCTTATCCCACTGGACACGGATACCGGTTCCCTCTCTCCTTCACACACACACACACACACACAGTACAATACTGCCTAAACCTCATTTAGATTTTTAATGTCTGCTATATAATGTACAAATTAACATTTTGGGGTAATTAAAGTGTGGAGAAAACTATTAGACATTTGTCATAAAATGACATATAATCACAATGTCACATTGAGAATGAAGTGTCTTACTTGTTGAGGGATTTGGGGGGAAACTCAAACTCGCCGACTGAGATCGTGTCCACAGCGTTCAGGGAAATTCGGACCACCTGCTGACACTGGAGGTTTATGAAGTCATATTTGCACACCAACAAAGACCTGTAACAGACCAGCAGCTCGTTCAGAACCCGTTTCCTGATACTAATGTATTAAACACAATTCTCAATGATGATTTACTTCCACTTACCTCTCAGTTATAAGTACCAGTCTCTCTTTTTCATTGTTCCAGTGATCAATTCTGTGGTAAAAATATAAAGAGCACATGAATCTGGCTGAACAGACATCTGTCAAATTCTGCTGCATAATAAGAGAAGCGGTATAGTGACGTTATCAGATGTTAACATCAGTACTTTGATGTGCAATAACTGCCAGATACTATATTCACATGGTATTTACATAGTACTCCAAGCTACTTCAAAAGCATATCATGGTTCTCTCATAGTACTGTAAATGTAAAAAACAGGATTTCCCAAAAGCCAGTACCATGGTATGTTTTTGTGTAAAGGTTGCAATCAAGATCCTGTTCATTTAAAAATGCATGCAATAAAAGTAAAAATGATATTGTGCTATAAAAGGGTGGCAATGGACTCACTCTGCTAGCAGCCACACGCTAAGAACCTCTCCATCTTCTGAAGGCAAGGCAACCGTGCGGATATCATTGACCGCCTGCTCTATCGTTCCTGGCTGAGACCAGGGGGGGGAAAAAGAGCAGCTTATTTAGGCCTAGATGCTTGAAACTAGAAAATAAATAAATGCAACTTATGTCTACTGTGTAGTTAAAGTCCTTATAGGCCAGTGGTTCTCAACTTTTTGACTCCAAGGTTTCCATTTTCCCCCAAAAAAATATTCAGTGGGCCCATGACTTGTCCAGGTGTTTGTGGTTTACAGGATAAGCATCAAAATGTTTTTAAAAACATTTTTCATTCACAATTTCTTTATTGTAAAATATGGCATACCTAGAAAAACCATATATAAAATTGCCCATGAAATTATAAGATTTTATTAATTTACATGACCTTTTCAGGTCAAGAAAACACACCTTTATACACTCTAAAAAATGCCGGGTTGTTTCAAACCAACTTTGGGTCAAATATGGACTAACCCAATTTTTGGGTTAAAAATTTATTGTAGAACTGTATCCCAACAGTTGGGTTAGTCGATATTTGACCCAAAGTTGGGTTGAAGTAACCCAGCATTTTTTAGAGTGTAGTTAGGATCCTTCATATATTAAGTCTTTCCAAGACATTGGGAATCCTGCTTCTTTAAAGGAAAAAGTTGTAGAGAGGTAAATTGAAATAAGAAATGTCCTCATTTTTTATTTGTTTTATCTTATTTTAAGTCATCTTGAGGGCCCCCTATTAGGCACTGGCTGCACTCTAAAAAATGCTGGGTGAAATACAACCTCTTTTGCTACAACCTACAATTGCTGGGTTTGTCCCTATTTTACCCAGCACTAGGTTGTATTTAACCCAGCATTTTTTAGAGTGCAGCCAGTGCCTAATAGGGGGCCCTCAAGATGACTTAAAATAAGATAAAGTTTTAAAGATAGAGTGTGCCAGGTTGAGAAGCACTGCTATAGTCCACATCCACAGATGACAACTGCTCAAGATCAAACACAAAACATGATACCACACAACTCCCAGTTTATAATGTACATCACTGCATGGGTCTCATTCACCAATCAGACATATACAGATTTGAGTGTACAATCTGTACAAACATGCAGAAATCATGATGCATCAAATGTATTCTAAATTGATACAATTTTGAACCAACTGAAACCACACACACACACACACACAAAATAACAGGCTGTATTTTACATTTACATTGATTTATTTAGCAGATACTTTTATACAAAGTGAGGTAGAAAAGAAAAGGAACATCACAAACCAGAATACAAATGAACTATTTTGTCTATATGGGTAATAATCTTTCAGGTGGTTGTGTAGGTAGTAAATGACAATTCATTAGAATTATGACATTTACATCGTCATAAGTCTAAAAAGAAAGAAAGAAAGAAAGTCAGATTAAACGGTCGGCTCCATTCATAATGGTCATCCCTGATTAATTTCAATAAATTCACAAACTTTGTCCAATAATCTTTCCTGTATCCCACCTCAATACCAGCAAAAGTGTTTTGCAATACAACATGAAGACAATAAGTACTTTATGTTTGTTCGTCAAAAAATTAACATTTTCACAGAAATGCGCACCATAAATACAAAATAATTTTAATCCCTTTCAAATGTTTACCACTGAATACTATTTTAAACTGTAGTAGGCAGTCTACAGGATACACAGGAGGTTACACATTACGCAGTATATTAGTATTTTATTGCAATTAGGATTACAATTGTGATAATTGATTTTTACAACAGTTCAATAAACAATAAATTAATTAAGAGACTTACGTTGAAGTCAGCATATCGCCCGTTTTTGCTCAATTTCGACAACAAAACTAATTCCAAACACAGCCACAGCACTGTTTTGCGTCTCTGAGCAACACGACGGTGTTTCGTTCCTGAATGAATCAACCGTTTAAACGATTCGGTTCAATCGCAAAGACTCGCTTATTAACAGTGACTTGCTGCCACCTACTGGCGGTTTTGATTTCACATTTAAAGTATCTGTTCTTTAAAAAACATTATAATTTCAAACGTCAGTTTTCAACATTTTGTGTTTAAAATATCAAAACATTATTTATGCACTTTTAACTGCAGGTTAAAGTATTCCATGTCCCTCAGAGCTGCATTAAACAGTGTGTAAATGCATCTAAATGCCACTTCAGAGGCAGCTTCTGTGTTTCCTCTGCATCGCAAAGATCAATTGTCAATACTGATTTCATTTGCTTGGTAACAGCCCAAACGTCTGATTATTCTAACTGACTGATTAAATGTAAAAAAAAAATATATATATATATATATTTGACTCAAAACGTGATGCACACTTTTCTAGAAAAAAAAAAGTCTTTTTAAAAAGGTAGAAAATGCGCATAAAAGGTAAAAATCGATTTAAACTTATTGGAAAAGATTAATTTCTATAACTGCTGTGAACTGATCACTGCACAGAATATGAAGAATATCAAAACTTTAGGAGTCAGCTGTCCACGGTAGTCCTTAAGATATCAGCACAATAACACGTTATTGATAAAATACCAGAAAATATCAAGATATATATTTTTTGGTCAATATCACACACCCCTGGTAAAGAATAAGTAATACGACCCCAGTGGATCAAGGGCTGTCAATCTACAGTTTGGTGAAGCTACAAACCAAAACGCAGCCCAAAAGTCGCATGCATAGATACTGTTCACATATATTTGGCATTGTCTGATGTCCCGAAACAATTTTGCTAGTTGAGACCTTTTCCACGATATATGGCCAGTGTCTGTTATATCCAGTGTTGGGGAAAGCTACTTTTAAAAGTAATGCATTACAATAATGCGTTACTCCATAAAAAAGTAACCAATTACGTTACTTAGTTACTTTTTATGGAAAGTAATGTGTTACGTTACTTTTGCGTTACTTTTAAAATCTGGACAGGGCTTGCTTGCTTGCTTTTAAAATAAAAAAAGTTATATTTTTGGCAAATATAAAAGCCTTTGCACACCAAAAGTGAAATGAATGAGCCTCAGGCTGAAGGGAAAGTACATTAAATTACGTCCGTACAGTAGAATGCAGAAGAAGACATTTCAACACTTTTTGTTTATTAGTACGGTTGAACTGACTCATCGAAGGTCAGAAGCAAAGACATTGCTTAATAGAATGGGATTAAATACATAAAGCATATTTGTGTTGTTTAACATTTCATTATTGCAGTTTTGCGTCATATTCTGAGTTGCATTATTTTTATTCATTTACTGAATCTGTGTTTGTTTTTGTGAGTGAGATGAATGAATGCATATTCATATTTATTTTAGAACTACAGTAACATCTGATTTCTCTCAACATGGGGACAGGAGAGCTGTCAATCAATAAATTGGAAAAAAACAACATAACTTGCATTGCTTATTTGAAAAAGTAACTCAGATATTCTCTTGTAAATTAAAGTAATGCGTTACTTTACTAGTTACTTGAAAAAGTAATCTGATTACGTAACTGGCGTTACTTGTAATGAGTCCCCCCCCAACACTGATTACAGAACATCACATTTTCAAGTAAAGTCATATTTCTATTTTTAATTTAGGCATATATTTTCAGCTCATATTTTTGGCCTTTTTCTTTTTCAGCCAAAAGCACCAAAGTCCACTCACTTGAAAATGTCTGGCCTCACCACTGGCAATGCAGAAAGCATTTCAGGCAACACAGGTATTCACATAGGATCCGTTCTTGCGTGTCAACTTAAAAAACAAACTATTTATCGTTACCGTCTCTTGCTCCAAGTCACTGCGCTCGTTCTATGAACGCGATCATGATGCTCATGCGTGCTGGCTATGTAGGCAGCTTCTTAGGTTTTGCCAAACAGCCCCATCAAGTCAACACACTAAGATGCAAACTATTTGACACATATTACAACCTCGACTACCGAGTCCGGACGTGTTGTAGCAAATACTGGGTTACTTACTCACCCTAAAGACGAAATAATCCTTGACTCTGGCTCGCATGGTTGGGTTGTGGACATGGAAAGGCGTGAGGGTCTGTAGCGGGGTGCAGCAGGCCACCGAGGCTCCAGCTCGGGCCAAATCCAGCCCATCATCACAGTCCGCCGGGTGAAGGACAGCCGCACCCGGGCTCTCAGGGTCCACGCTGTCATTCAGCTGCAGCATTTCTCTAAAGCGTCGAGGACGAGCTGCAAATATCTGTAACAAGTGACTGCGCTCGGTTCCAGCAGCAGCGCTGTGTGTGTTGCGCTCTACGGACGATTTAAAGGGACCCGATCTGTTTATGAGTTACATTCGGATTTTTAAAGGAACAGTTCAGCCAAAAATGCTGGACGGGACCGGTCAGGTGGAAACATTGATTACGTCTGGTTGAAATCGCAGGAGAGCTGGGTAGTAACTGATTACATGTAATCTGCATTATGTGATCAGATTCCAAAAATCAAGTAGGCTACTCATAATACATTTTAATTTATAATGCTTATAATACATTTTTATGGATTGTTTTACATTTATGACGCATTTATTTGTGACCTGTGCAGGCTAAATGAGTCACAATGAGCACATTTTCAAAAATGAGTTATTTTAATTGTCCCATTCTCCTTTAAAAGACCTTTAAAATGATGTATGGTTTGTTGGAATCGGACGAAAAATGAACCCGTTTGAAGTCAGCAGTAACTTCTTTTCCCCAAATCTTTCCCAAGCAAAATCACCTTAGCAACATTGCATTGTTTCCTCCACTTCCTGTCGTAATATTAATTACTATATCCTCCTGAGAACCAGAAATAAAAAGCTTTGTGAATTTAGTATTTTTTCATGCCATTACATTGTTTAGAGCAGTGGTTCCCAACCCTGGTCCTGGTGGCACCCCTTCACTGCACATGTTGCAGTGAAGGGGTGCCACCAGGACCGAGTTTGGACAGCCCTGGTTTAGAGCATAAGAAAAAAATGGTAAAATAACATCTTTGAAAATTATATTCATAAGTTATGTTCTCTGTAGAGGACACCAGGACTCAGTTTTTCTAAAAAATAAAATGACAAGAGTAGACATGAAAAGACAAAAACAATGGGAATTTGTTTTAAATCACCAATCAATTTTTAGGTTTCAGGAGTTTTTTATAACTAACTTTGTTTAAGGATGGTTCTCAACTATGTTATAAAATATATAACAAAATGATTTGATATACCATTTTGCTTTATGCAATATGTGTGTAAAAACTCCATAAACTGGTTTTCTCATTAAGCACAATGTTATCTATACACTGTATCTGATTTGCATATTAAAGTGCTGTTGGGACAGCATGTTGAAAAAAGAAGTGTAATAATGGGAGCAGTAATTGGCCAGATTTTCATAATAATATCTAATATTTCATAAGAATATTGATATGTAATTTGTTTTCCTATACAATTCTTTTGTCTCCTAAAATGTATGATAAACATGCTTTTAGTCCTGGTGTCCTCTACAGTGGACATGTATGAAATCATGCCCTGTTTCATAACAGGAAGTCATATTTTGATTTGAAACCCCATAACATTTTCCTGAGATGTTGATTTATGACAAACAATGTGAAAATTAATCAGATTTAAATTATAATTACAAAATATTATCATATTTCCATAAGGATGTTCAATTTGATCACTAAATTAATGTCAGCCATTTTTAAAAACCAAGGAGAGGGAGTGGTCACGGTGAAACATCCAATCATTAGGTATCTCTGGAGAGCCCTGAATGTGCTCCGTACAGGACTCCAGACTTACAACTGTGACATGTGAGGTCTCAGAGAAATTCACTAACATATAATGTCCACTACAGAGGCAAAAACTCCATAGCTGGGTCTCAGGAGGATATTGATCATCACAATATAGCCATTTTTATTTTATATTTGTTATTAAAAATAAGAACAGATGCAAAAAAAAAACGCAACGGTAGAACAAATACAAGAAAGAAACAAATGGGCCTAGTGCAGAGAAGTGAGCAGAGAAAAAGGTAGGCCTACTCCTCTTATTAACTTACAAATAAAGATAATTTTAGATCTTTAATTACTGTTTGGAGCATTGGGATTGCTATATGCGAGGGCTTAATGAACATTTTTCGACATTTCTCACTGTTTTGTCTTTAGTTCAAAATGACTCAAAATGAGCTCTGAATAGCAGTTAGTGTGACTGTCATGTCAGTCAGTTCTCTGCCAAGTCAAAAACATACAGCGAGGTCAGTGTAGTTCAATTCCCGAAGGAATTACTCTTACGACTCTTTTTAATGAATCAAAAACATTTACTTGAGGAGCTTGCCAGCTCTAAATGGGCAGGACTTTAGCTCCAACAGACCTTGCAGGTTATTGAAATTAACGTGGATTAAAATGGGGCTGTAAATATGTATTCAATGGATTGTACTGTTGTTTAATAACATTCTGTCTTAACAAAAAAATAATAAAGATCAGTAGACAAAACTACTGGAAAAACCATGTATTAAACTACTAGAAAAAACAGTTTTGAAAGTTGTAAGTGGTGAAAATTACGATCTAGGACCTAAAAAGTTAGCATGCTTCAAGTACGATAAAGTTATTAAATAAAAATATAAAAGCCTTAACAATTGCAGCACACAATGTCAAATTGTAATACAACCTAGTATGCAAGTGCAGAAATGAAATGCAAAAGAAAAAAAAATGAAGCATTTATTGCAGAAGGAGTGTGTTTTCAGCCTTTTCCTTAAAGTTGGGATGGTCTCAGTAGTTCGACTTTGTCCTTTATGGTGAAAAAACCCCTAGGCATTACTCACTCACTATAAACGGTGCGATGGAACATACATACATACAATTGGTCATCAAGCTTCCTTGCTTGTTGTGAACTGTGGTGTTGTGGTCAACTGTCAGGTTGACAGCAGTCCATTAGATCTGGTCTGTCAGATAAAACGAAACTGCTAAGTGCTACTAAGTGAAAATTGCTTAAAAAATTAATTTCTCAAGTGACAGAAATTTTTCTTGCTAATTTTAACAGGGAATCCCATGTATTGATGTCATGACCTCCAGAAAGAGAGAGAATGACACAAGAATACTCTTTACAACATACTATGCTTTGGGACACACACATGTTCTAATCTCACATTCTGTTTAGAATGGATAGTATGAACATTGGGTTGTATGGCAGAGCTCCTCAGATCTTGTCCTGGAGGGCCAGTGCCCTGCAGAGTTTAGCTCCAACCTTGATCAAACACACCTGAGCAAGCTAATCAAGGTCATGGGATCCAGGGGCGTAGCGTTTGGGTATGCAGGGTATGCACGTGCATATGGGCCCAGGCTGATTTGGGGGCCGGCCGAGGGAACCTTTTAATTAAAACGAACAAATTCTTAATTCGTGGCCATAATAAATATGCTGTAGAACTTTTGTTTTGGCACAATTCATAGATTAATCAGACCAAAGACTGCCCATTTAATAAAACCACAATGAGTTATACCTCGCGTAACACCGTCTACATGAGAGCCAGCGGCAAATACCTGAAGGACTGTGGTAGAACTGTTTCATTTTCTATAACTACGTGCAAGCGCTGCATTGCCACGGTCAAATAAAATAATAGTTAATAATTGAAAAAAAAAACTTTGTGAAGATGGTAGCTATCTAGTTGAAAAGACTGTATCACAACTGTATTACGTCTAGCTTTAGTGACACCTGCACCATTTTAATTCTCTTTCTTTCATTTTAATTCTCTTTTATCAAAAGATTATCAAAAGTAGCCTTCTTTCCATTGAGAATACACAAAGCCATTAAGGACATTGTAGATGAATTTGCCAAAAGAAAGGCCCAGACAATTTCTTTAAATGAAATTAATTACAACTAAAATGTGAGTTGTTTTCTTTTTTTTCTCTCTTTCATTCGTTCTGTCTTTTTGCATTTTTGGCCGCTGTGCCAAGAGAGTGTTTGCCTTATTTGGTAAATATGGCAGCGTTTAGTGCCATAATATTTTTAGAATGAAGTCAAAATTAAAGTTGTGTTATATTGTGTGAATAATGTTAATTAATGTAAAAATTACATTCAATTACATACAATTACCTACTCCAAAAAAAAATAAAAAATGAATACAAAAAAAATTTATGAAAATAATAAATGTTGGTAAAGTTATATTGATGGTGTTTTAGAGGTAAATGTTATGTTACGACTGTTATGACACAACAAGCTGTTTTACTGATGATTTTCGAAACACTAACTGATTGATTACATAAGATATTCACTTTATTAAATAGTTCAGGGCAGCAGCCCTCCAGGACCGATTTGAGGAACCCTGCTGTATGTTCTGTAGAGTTCACATATTATCCTCTGCAGTATGAGCAAATTGATTTAAAGACCAATTTGTTTAAAGAATTGAAGAACGAACAAGTGTGACATGTTGTTTCCTGAAGCTGGGTGTCAATGAAAAGTGATGAATCTATGCACCATTCTATGAATCACTACAAAGATTTCTAGTGGAGTGACAATGACGAAAAGAGTGTTTACTTTGAAAGTTTGTGCATAACGGAATACTGTTTAACTGCTTCTGCGTTTTAGTCTAAATCAGAAAGAATCTCCTGAACCCAGCTGTGTTTCCATGAAAAGCGAACAGTCAATAGATGATGTAATCAACTTTAGTTCAGGAGACTCTTCTGCTGATCTGAGGTGAGAACAGTTTCATGGTGTATTGGTTCTCAAAGTGTAATTTTGATTTGATAGGGTCTTTAAAATGCAAATACTGCAATGTGTAAATATACAGTATCTCACAGAAGTGAGTACACCCCTCACATTTTTGTAAATATTTTATTATATCTTCTCATGTGACAACACTGAAGAAATGACACTTTGCTACAATGTAAAGTAGTGAGTGTACAGCTTGTATAACAGTGTAAATTTGCTGTCCCCTCAAAATAACTCGACACACAGCCATTAATGTCTAAACCGCTGGCCACAAAAGTGAGTACACCCCTAAGTGAAAATGTCCAAATTGGGCCCAAAGTGTCAATATTTTGTGTGGCCACCATTATTGACCACAGGACATGGTTCCAGTAATCCATGTCCTTAGTCTGCTTGTCTTCAGCAAACTGTTTGCGGGCTTTCTTGTGCATCATCTTTAGAAGAGGCTTCCTTCTGGGACGACAGCCATGCAGACCAATTTGATGCTGTGTGCGGCGCATGGTCTGAGCACTGACAGGCTGACCCCCCACCCCTTCAACCTCTGCAGCAATGCTGGCAGCACTCATACGTCTATTTCCCAAACACAACCTC